GTTGAATGATGCAGTGGGATTTTTTGGCGGTACAGGCTCAATGGATGCGTGAAAAAATGATCGACTGAATGGGAACTGGGTGCACAGAGACATGCCTAGCACCGGTTTCAATCCATAGCATGATGGTTTTTGATCGGAGACTTTCGACAGACAGGAAAACGTAACAAGACCGGGGTTGTGCCGCGAACGGGAAGAAGGCTTTGCATGTAGCGACAAATCATTGCTGACACGGTCGGGTAGGGCTGACTGTATTCGCCGAGTACATATTGATTGGAACTCGGGTCTTGTGAGATCTTCATGTGGAGGAAGTCGCACTCACGTCTGTGGGAAACAAAGTGGTAGACAGCGACGAGGAACAATTAGAGAGAGAAGGCCAGTTAACACATGCGGTGGCGGTGCAAGTCTATAAAAAGATAACAACTTTACCATAGGTGATCAACCTAAAGGTACACTGATTGTGTTGTGTGATACAGATATGGGTTTCTAACATGAAAACACATTCTGGTTACGAGAATATCCATTTGTCAGCTACTTCTGTTTAGTGGGCGATCTTCAATTTTGAGTGCGACGTACAGAGTGGATTGTTTTGCTTACCTAACAAGTCGCGCTACCACCAAAAACATTGGTCCAACAAAGGTGGTCAAAGGCTCGAGCTGCGCGTACGGTGGATTGAAACAACTTGAAGTAGGAAGGTTGCGTATACTGCAGTGATATCTTGAGCTAGCGTATGTAAGACATCTATAAATAAAAGCTTTTCCACCGTCTATATTTACGTAGTTCGCGCTGGTAGGGTCGAGCGGGTGGATTGAGAACACCGTTACGTATGCATGTATTGGGACAATTCGGAGTCATAACGATTTCGGATGATTATGATTTGGTGGTTTAGACACGTATTACGCAAGCTGGAAAGTCGTCTAACGATACATGTCCTAATCGACTTATCATATAAATGGAAAATGAAAAACGGTCTAGACAGTTGCCCGGTGGCCGAGTGGGTAGCATACTTGCATTCTACTCATAAGGTCCCGGGTTCGATCCCCAGTTGGGTCGATGGATTCGCACTGCGGATGAAACCCAACCCGGTCGAAACAGCTGTCCAGTGCTTCCTAGCTTTTCAGTTCACGCTTCATTTGCTATATACAAGATGAATTCACCTTTGAAACTGAATCAAATCCTCTATTACTCACTTGGAAGAAAGATACATTTGAAGATGGAAGACCGAGACACGGACGATAAGCAAAATCAATCACGCCAAAGCTGGAAAACAACAGTTGTCACACAATCCTAATAGGTGACTTGGGCGCTGTTTCCGATTGGCCCAATAGCATACCTTCATCGAGCAGTCCTTTTTTGAGAGATCCTTCGTTCGACATTCGAGAACGGGAGATCTAATCTTTGAAGCATTGAATTCCCTTTATCCGCTTCATCAATACAGAAAGAAGACAAAAGTCGCGAGATGTTAACATTTCGTTTATTCTTCTCAGTCGCTGACTTACAAAACAGGCACATAGTTAGTACATGGGGTTAGTCAATTGTGGTGAACTAACATGTACAAGCATACAAAGATTATTAAATTTAGAAGTAGAAGATCAACTCCACGGTAAGTAGATTGATTGTAGCAAAAACGTTTATACGCTTTTTTGTACCTGTTTTTTTAAGTCAGCGACAGAGAAAATCAAACGAAATGCTAGCATCTCGCGACATTTGTCTTCTTTCTGTACTGATGAAATCTAATCTTGACCATATGGAATTTTCCTGCCGCTGCAGTGTTTGCCCCTTTCACTATCTGATCACTGCGTGATATCGAAAATTCGACATGGTTGTTCAAACCAATCGAGGAATACCGCATAGTATGAATGAGATGTGACTAGTGACCTTGGCACTGATTTTATCTAGCCGAGTGATTTTGGTGTTCAGAGATTCGTCATTGCCTGATCGCACGTCCACATGAACGTTTGTGCACACAGCTGAAGAGACAATACGAAACAGTTGAAAGCAACCTGTTCTGTGATGATGCTTGTCCTCTCTCTTATGGAATGGAATTTAGTATGTGTGGTCGAACACTCATAGGAGGGAAGATTTAGAGATGCACGATCATTAATCAGAGGAAACCAGTGATCCATATTTGCTAACTACTTGACAGCCTAAATCACAGTGCGTATAGGACTCGGTTGAAAGTCCCTGTCAGCTATGGAAATACCAAGCTGTATCAATTTGTGTAAGGTGGCTGGTCGAGGAGGAGAATGAAGTAACGGACCGTTCATCTTTGATGTAAACAAACGAGCGTGCCACACAGAAGCACACACCTCACTGTAATCACCTACCAAGGGAGAGGGAGAAGTAGACATGAGTAAAAACACGGTTGCAGGATGAGGGCGAGGGGGTGGAGGAGAATAGAAACAGAATATGGATCGCAGAACAGACGTCAATTAACACACCTGACAGAGAGTGAATATTCCGACTTGCTGGTCTCACTTTGACGCACCAAGAAGCTACCCACCGGAGTTGATTTTAATAGGCGTTCCGCACCGGCTCGGGATAAGTCGAAATGGAACCAGCTGTAGTTGGGAGGAATGTATGAGGGAGAAACAGGCAGTAGTCAATGAATGCAAAACAGAACGAGTGATAGAAGAGAAGCACAATCTCTGGATTCTGGATTAGACTAACCATGGACAGAGAAATACGGTGATGAACTCCGAGTAGTAACGAAGTGCAAATATGTTTAGCTATTGTTGGTATGCGCAATCAAAATTCTTCCATTTGTTCGATCGCGTACAACTGATGAAAAACATGTGAATCCATTGATCTCAAGCAAAAATAGAATGTCTGTGGTTATGATGTTAATCAAGATTTAATGGGTTGGGACTTGACGCAATGAACAGCAATACCCGGGATCTGCAAAAGACTGGAAAGGTGGATACGTTCCCGCACCCTTGCCTTGCATTTGCAGGTGTTGTGTAAGTGTTACAGAAAGCTCGTTCCCAGATAAGATAGTTCGATAGCTTGGGGATATACAACTGTCGAATGCATCTGCAGACGATGAACAGAAAGTGATGTTGGTTCGAATCGTGGTGTATGATAATTGGCATATTGTTTCATTTTGTTTTAACACTTAATTATTTCTCTGGAGATTGTCTATGTTTTTGTGTGATACATGACGATTGGGGTAGAAATATTCCACGGCAAATCTAAGTGCGGTAAGTGTCCATCGGATAAAACATTACAATGCTTCGATCTCCTGAATCGTTCCCCGGACGATGCAACACCGACTAATCAGGACATATCATACATGAGAACGGTACCGCTGTAATACTCCAGGATAAATCGGTTCGAATCGGTAGGTGGCAAAGGGACGACTGACAGCTGGCCGTAAAGACGACGCGTTATTTGAGAGAGAGAGAGACGGAATGTATTAAGATTGTGTATCCTGGTTGTCACCATCAAGAGAATCCAACCATTTCCACTGAACTTAAACACGAGGCATAAAGACATAGGGTGATCAGAGAAATTCATTTTAGATGATTCACAACCATTTCCATAAGTCACATGATGCCTTCAAGTGGTACGTGTTCTCTCTCAAGCAAACTTCACTAATGACACTACAGTCATTCGAGGAGGACGTTGAACGCGCCTAAGTGAAAGGGAAGTTCCGGCTTAAAAATCCCATAAATTCTGATTGTTTCACCTTGCTGGTAAAACGCAGAGTGATGTCCGGTGGGTGACGTAAACAAGAGGTATTAGAGATTATTCGGGATTCAGAGGGAAGAAATACAGAGATGAGGAAGAGGTTTATTTAGATGGGACACAACATACTTCACGGCAGCCCACACCGATGAAGGTTTTTCTCTCGGAACCCTAGACGGACCCTTCGACTCGAAATTCTGACCCACAAGGCAGTTGGGCGTAAATCCAACGCGGGAGCGTGAACGAAGCACCCGTGTGGGAACTTCTAGGAATCTGTCACGCAAGGCCTTTGGGTTTCGTTTCAATGTATTGTTCGCTGGTGTGTTGACTGTCGGTCCGCTTTTCGGGATCGACCCTTAGCCTCATGCACCCAATGAGACAACCGGAACGTGGACGGGACAGCATTTTATTTGCTGTGCTGCCCAGCTTGGGCGGGTGGTAGCCGTCCAATGAAGTGCGAAGACTTCTCCCACCGTCAAAAGGAAGCCCCAGATACCCCGCTCCTACGTCCATCTAGTGGGGTTTTTTAATCGGTAAACTGCCCATCAGCTTGTTTATTTACTAAAGTGACCTCTCCGGGGTCCAGCGTGAATAGACAAGGAAACCAGGAGGTGCCCAAGCAGCTGTCCTTGTAAACTGATCTTCGTCTGACCTCTCTCCATTGACCTTTTGGGCATGATTGGATCTGCGGCTGTGAAAAGCCATATTGCGTAACTTACAGGGTCATGGAGGCACGCAGGCCACCAGAACACGTCAAGGTGCAGTCTCGGGGTGCAAAAAAACCAAAGAAGAGAAATTAGTCGATAAACGAAGGTCCAGTGGGAAAATTCCCTCAATGGAATGACGTGCGGGACAATTCGAATCAATAATATTGTTTGAAATGAGCTCACAGATACTGTATCTACGAAACAGAGTTTCTGAAAGAACATAGATTTGATTGACAGTTTTGATGGTATTTGCTACCGGTTTGTATTACATGTAGATCTTTTTAAACTTTGATTTCTCTCGCAGATGTCTCCTCTCACCACCTGTTTTATCTATCATACATTGTGCTGCATTTAGCCAGTTGAAACAGCACCGAAAACGAGCTTGTTTGCGAGCCTGTGTTCTCATGGTCACATGGAAATCCGATGAAGGAAAGGAGCGACAAAAGAACTGTACGAATGAGATGTATGTCTGCTGAAATTCGCTTGAAGTTAAGACCTCGTCAAGACGCTCTAATGGTGCGGCCTGGATAAAAACAAATTGAAGATAAAATGTATAAGAGTTCCATTGTGATAGCAGAACTAAACTGAAGAGTGAACTGAGCACGACACTCACGGTTGTTCCTCTAGACACTCGTAAATGGCAGAGGCGCTATGATGATGTTGAGGATGACCGTGTTTTGTCCGGTTTACATGAATTAAATCATTCGAAGAACGTCCTCCACACAAAATGCGCTCTTTTCGAACGACCCCCGCATCTAGGGGCTGAGAAGTGAACAGGTTTGGATCGCCAGCCACGGGACGTCGATGGTGCCACTGGGCAAGTACGGGAGGCCAAGCCATATCTGGTCCCATTGCTTCCAAAGGAACTGTGTGACTGATGCTGCGTTGGTAGAATGCCGGGGAGAAGGCAAAACCTTGCGGTTCAGGGACTGTTCCACCACCCATGAATCTGGGATCGAACAGCTCCGCAGCTCGCTGACTATGTGATCGCATCACACCCTGTCGTACACGTCGTCTCCTCCCGGACGCTGAAGCCGCGGTACTGGCAGTTGTAGATGATTGACCTCCATCATAGGCATGGTGTCCAGAAGCCATCCAGGCAGAATCTGACGGGAAGAAAACGGATTGGGTCATAGAGGACGTGGAGGATGGATACGAAGCTCCCGAATCACGAGATAATTCAAACGATTCATGTAACCGATTTGCATGTCCCCGATCCAAACTGGTTCGATGATGCTGGTCCGAAGCGACGAAACGAGGATCGGCAAAGTAGCGTGGGGCATGTTCTGGAGAGATGGAAACCATGGGACGTGGGCAGGCAAGACGTGCAGGTGAATCGAATAGATCCATTGTATCCGGATCGTCTAGGACAACCGCCTCGTTGAACTGACCGCGGATAGCAGATTGGGTCATCAGGGCACGAGCGTGATCGGACGGAGAGGACTTAGTTCGACCAACGAGATGGGTCATTTCAGGAGGTCGAGCCATGGCGTGTTGTGAAGTGGGAACGCGTGTGGGCGAGAGTTGTGTTGGTGTCAGGTTGAACGCTGGACCGGCACTGATCTGGCGCTTGAACAGGTCCGAAGATTCTTTAGTCCTCCCGAAGCCTGTGACAGAGGAGAGATAATTACGAATAACGCATGAATAAATAGTGCTTTTGAGAATGACTCCACATTGAAATAGATAGTTACAAAAAACATACATTGGCTGTGTGGGTCAGACAAGATACAAGAACTGGATCACGAGTACATGGCAATGCAACTGAAGGACCAAGTGACGCAACAAAGGTCACGCCGTGACCTGAGAACGAACGAAAACCGCAATCGGGACGAAAGGACAACTTCCTCCCCTCCCACCCCCACCCGCTCGCAACAGTTCAACGGCGGACCGAGTCGAACAAAGTGAGAACAGGAGACGAAAATAGCCGGTGGAGAAGAACGCATATATAAACGAACGGATACAGACAGAACACTACCACTTCACAAGCACTGATGATGTCACCTGGGCTAATGATGCAACGTTTGCAAGCAAATTACTAAGTTCGGCGAAGAGACGAAATGGAATTCAGTTCCCTCGAGCTACGAGAACCGATTTTCAGCATTTTGTCATCAGGATGCAGCATGTATTAGAGGAAATGTACAAACGTGATTTGAGTGTCAACTTGGTGGATATCATGCTAAAATGATTGGTCAAAGTGCTCATAAATAAAAGAGGGCTCACAGGGTATTGATAGAATGCAAATACAATTCACACGTCATGCGTATGAATAAATTCCTATGGTGTTTTTCTACTGAGTTTTGTTTGTTACCTTACAACTAACGCGTCAGCAGCTGTCGTGAAATCAGAAGATCGTGTGTTTAAATGACATTCGACTGATAGAAGCAACCATATAAGTGGGTACTATTACCGTTATGTTGTGCTTGTTATGGGGTAGTGCTAAATATGCAATCTCGTGAATGAGGCTCAGAACGCTAGGTGTCGGGAGAAAGAGAACTGACGAAAGTCAGGATGTCGCACTAGTTCGATCAATACCTGTACAATCAGATGAAAATATGAACGCATTTGTAATCTCATTTTTGCAGCATATACACCGTTTGATTCGGAATGAGAGAAGAAACAAGCTGCAGGTGCTTCTACTTTTTTCAATGCCCCCTATAATTCCTCTGGCACACCACAAACCGATCATAGGAGGTCAAAATCGCGTGACTAGTTGCGAATATGGGTTTGGATTAAAACGGTCCTTCAAGATTGCGCCTCAAATGAGTAAGTCCTATTTGTGTTTACTAATGCTATACATCCGACTAACAATGGTGTCCAACGGAAGAAATATCTTGTTGACAGGAACTTTATTTTCATAAACCTAATTCCGATAGTACAACATTCAGGTGTTCAATAAACGATCCTTCGCACATCGTTCGTGCGTTTGAATGCCGTCACTATCGCCGGAATTTTATTTGTTTTATTTTCAGCACAGTCCCCTCTTTTGGAATATTGGTATTCAACTTGGTGTGTATCAAATAAACGAAGGTAAAAGTAGCAGTCCACTTCTCAGTGACCATGCACTCTCGCGCAGCTGTTTTGGTTGCTGTCTTTAGGCTGTCCGATTAGATGAAAGGGACGGAGGGAATATTCGAACTTTAGAAGCAGTATTACTCATATAACTCAGTACCTCTAACCATCGATTACACTGGCACCGGGTCGAATCCTATTGCCAGATTGCGAGATAATTCCGATGCATACGCCGGACCTCTGTCATCCGTCGTATTTTGTATACAGAATGACAGTCCTCAACTATGGGGTATGGACCTTTCCATTTGGGGAGCAACTTCCTCGAACCAGGGCCGCTGGCGAATCCCTAGATGTGCCGCTTATACTCTGCTTTAGATTCAACCGGACTTGCACATTGTGTCTTCCTGTAACTTCCTCAGGTTTTCCTGGGCTTCACATCTTACCTCTAGACGTTGTTGAAGAGACACTTCGCGGCCACATATTACCGTTGAGATCCACTGGCAGCTTTGGAATTCGCCGATGCATCATTGAATAGGTGCATGTTTTGTACTAACCAGCGCGGACGAACGTTAAGCTGAAAGTAGTAAGGGTAGGACCATTTACCAGTCACCTCCTTTTGCCGCCAGCCATTCTTTGATTGGTCTGTTATTTCATTCGGCGAGGCCGTTGGTTTGTGGGTGATACGGACTTTTGCGGATCCTTTTGATGCACAACTTCCGGGGGCATATGCGAAATCTGTCACTCTCAAAGTACGGGCCTTAATTAGTGAGGATGACTTGTGGAGCACCATGATTTACCACAATATGCTCCATCACCACCCCGCTCATCATAATGGCTTTTTATCCACTACTCCTATAGCTTCCATTCAGCGAGTGAAGTGCGCCATCATCATCACGATGTATTGGTTTCCTATGGAAGGAATTGGAAATAGACGCTTGAGAGGAGTGGACTATAACTCACCGATCTCAGATACTGGTATTGATTGAATGGCACACTAAGATTAGTGTGTCGACTTGAAAAGTTGGCATTTTTCACAAACCAGCACATGGTTTGTTACTTCGGTCTGCATATTTGACCAATAAGCCCGCAGCGGAAGCCAATCGTAAATTCGCGTGAGGATATCTGTCGGTGATATGCGTACCGCATGCCGCTGCTGCCAGCATAATCTATGGTGGTCGATCACTTGATGCAATGGGCGATTACGATTACTTGAAACTGCGCCTAACTTCAGCTTACTACTGTAGCAACATTCTACGCTCTGAAGGAGCACAACTCATGCCGAACATAATCATCAGTAGCAATATTACAAAACTGGCCGATTTTGATACACTAAAATATTTTCTTTCTAAATAAATTGAGTTTTATTGCATTTATCACTGATATTAACGCTTTAGGTATGCACAATAAGTTATCCCTTGTTTATTCCGGTCCACGTAGTGAAATTGAAATTATTATCGCTATTTCTATTTACCTGTAACCGGTTCCCAAATTGGACGGATATATATTCCCTTGCTTGCATTTGGATGAACAGTCTACCACCAGGGAAACCGTTACGAAAACAAGAAACGAGACGGGCTGTGCTTCATAAGACGAGCTATTTGCCGAACATAAGTTGAGTTCCCATGATGAAACCGGTTCACAACTCGATGCTTCAAACGGATCATCAAGGAGTGCCTGATGAGTACCAATTTATTCCATCGCCCACAATTACCATCCGATTGTTCAGAACCTAAATACCTCGAACAGGAGTAAAACGCCTGTCAGATTATGTCAGGATGACATATTGCCCACTTTCCCTCACCACTATCCGTTAGCTAGAACATTCTGGTCTGTTTGCATCCTACTCACTCGTCGTCTGCCAGAGTGGTCTTTCTGTCTCTCCATTGATCCGGACACGGACGATCAATACCACTCGCATCATGTCTGTGAATCCGCGCGCGTGTGTGTGCACGATGGTATCCGACTCATCTAATGTTTGACTCTGCTCTGCTCCTCTCCTATACAGACACACACGCGCATGCACAGTGTCGCTCATGCGTTCCGACTTACTATCCTGATGTCCAAAAATCGAACGTTTTCCTCAGGCTCGCTCGCCTCGTGCATTTTCTGTCTCTGTCATATCCATACATACACATCGACCGTTCAGATGCGTCGCGAACCAATGGTAACAACGTCCATTTTTGACTGCTGTTTATACTGGGCGGTCAGTCAGACTGTCATCATTACATGGAAAGAATCTAAAACATTCGGGGAGGAAACGGTCAACAATAGACATCTGTTTGTGGCCAGAAGTATAGAGGCCCCGTGGAGAGACGGTGGGTTTTAGATTGACCCAACCACAAAGGCAACATATAAGTGAAGGAAAGTGAGCCCAGGAAGTGCGCGTGTTTGGTCGTTTCCTTGTTCGCGAAGGTTTGCATGACAATCCCGGTCGTGGCCCGGACCATCCCCTCCTGGCCGCATTCATCACGAAAGGCAGATTTCACCGACCAACGCGGTATTGCTTAAGATGCTACCCAAAATGTACTTGGATTGTTTAGAACGAGAAATCACAAGATATCTCTAGGTGTCTTGACGGTATATTCAAATCATGGCGAACAAGATGGTGGAAAGCGTCGGACTGGTAAAAATAGTCAAGTGTTTAAAACGGCGAACTGTTCTTACAGGTACGGATGAACAGTTAATTTCATTTCTTAAAAACCATTAACCATGCATTTTCGTGCGCCGGTTTTGGTTGTCCATTTGAATGAAATACCAGAATGATGATTAGAATGTTGAGAGCAGATTTAAGTAGAAGCTAGCACATTTCCATAGACTGAAGTTACACGAATAATGAGTAGATGCATGTGCGCCACTGTTTCTGACATTCAGTCATATCGATCAGTGTCTCTAACCATCGGGGTCCCCAACAAGGCAGCCTAACGGGACCTATATGAACCACTCTCCTGGTCAGGGTTTTCATGCCCTCATGCCAGGTCTTAGTCTGACCGCCCTTCATTTTTTCCAACCGCTACCTGCCTCGGCAAGCATCGCTCGCCGTGGCAACCTATCTGGTGACATGCGTAGCATATGTCCCAACCAGCGTAATCTATGGAGGTCGACTACCTGTTCCATTGGACGACCGCGATTACCTAAAACTCTACGCCTAACCTCAGAATTGCTCGTCCGGTTTCCCCATCAAACTCGTACAATGCTACGTAGACAGCGGTGCTCGAACACCGACAGTCTATTTTTGTCCTGTTCCCGTAATGGCTAAGCCTCTGTGCCGTAAAGCAGAACTGGCCGAACTGCTGTAGCATATACTTGACCCTTCACAGACAACCGGATGTCCCGACGGCGCCACAGATGTCTCAAGTTGGCCTTTTGTATGTGCGCCGACATTTCATCTGTGATGCGTTCGCCAGTGGAGATATAGCTGCTCAGATAGCAAAATTTGTCTACCTTCTCTACAACTTCCCCGGTCAAGGTAAGGCTGGGGACTGGGCCAACCCAATCTTGGAGTAGTATTTTACACTTTGAAGGTGCAAAGCGCATACCGTACATCGCTACATTAGCAATCAAACTATTCAGAAAAGCTTGCAACTTTCCTGAATCTTCACTTGGTAGCACAATGTCGTCTGCATACTCTAAATCAGACTGTCTGCCAACTGGGAGTAAATCGATGCGGTTATCCCCGCACGAGGATAGGGCTGTTTGAAGAATTAAATCTATACCAACGTTAAATAGAAATGGAGAGAGAGAGGACAACCCTGTCGAACACCACTTTCCGTGGTGAACTCGAGTGAAAAAGTGCCGTAA